GAGGAAACCCTCCTGATGAGCTGGACTACTGTACCAGTTCATCGGGAGGAAACCCTCCCGATGAGCTGGACTATGGGCCGTCAGGGTTCAAACGAAGTGAATCCCTGTAGGACCCAGGCCTGGGTCCTACAGGGATCTTCAAGGCCATCGGCCAAGGTTTGAACCTTGGCCGATGGCCTTCAGGGTTCAAACCTTGAGCCCATGTTGGTTCAAGGTTTGAACCGGTCAGAACGTCTCTCCATAGGACACATCCCTGGGTCCTATGGGATATGCCTTGACCTAAACCCATATGAATATGGGTTTAGGTCGAGGCATATGGAATTGCTGGCTGCACGCCTGCCTGCAAGCGAGGCAACCTCGCTTAACGGCTGGCGTGCAGCATTGCACACCAATCGAAATTGGCGTGCGGACCCACACACCAACCTGCTGGGGGAATGCCCGCGCAGAGGGTTGGAGTGCAGACCCGCACTCCAATTTCAATTGGAGTGCAGACCCGCACTCCAATTTCAATTGGAGTGCAGTCCCACACTCCCTTCAGAGAAGGGAGTGTTGGAGTGTGTGTGCAAAGGGGGGTGGAGTGTGATTATCACTCCCCCATCAAGACTGTACACCATCTCAAAGGCCAGAGGGAACCCTCCGGCCTCAACAAAGCAACCAGATTAGTTCAGAAACACATGTAAGACACCGGCTGGTGTCCTACATGGGTTGCTGACACCTTTGTGCAGCCCAACACACCCAAAAGAGGGAGTGTTGGACCACCAATGATAAATTAAATTCTTCAGGGGAAGCATTTCCAGGGCGGGTGTAAGGCAGGTACCCGGGTACCTGCCTTTTTTTACCGCAAATGTTGACACACGCACCCACACCCGCACCTGTTTTTACCGCAAATGTTGACACCCGCACTTGCACCCGGTACCTGTTTCCGGGTACCTGCTTTGGAAAACAGGTACCGGGTACCTGCTGACATCTCTAATGTGTAACAATTTGTTAATTGTTATAATCTTGCTGTTTGTTTGATTGGAAACATTTAAGGTTAAAGGAGTGTGGACTCAACCTTTGTGGATATTTGGACCACATAAAAAGGGTGATAACCAGTAATCTTTTTCTCTGATGGTCCTTCAGAAAAGTGATAGCACCAGGTTTTAATATTATTCAAACCAGTGTAGCATACACAGAGCTGACACAGGGTGATCAGTAAATATCAAAAGTTTAGTGATTTTCTGTTCCTCTTAACAATAAAGACAAAAATATCTCACTACCACAAAATTGATTATCTTTGATTCAAGCCCATAATCAATCCTCAGGCTTGCTGAGATTGATGAATTTCCACAGGAGAATGTTGGTTAAATAAATGCATGAGATTGACCAAATTGTCTGCCCCTGTTTTGATGCTTTGTAATCATCATAGGGGGCTATGTTTCTATATATTTCTTATCAATTTACTATCAAGCAAGGCTATTTTTAGACAATGGTATGGCTGAGACTCGAGTTTTATAATGAAGGTAACCCTCCAGGACGGTGGTCAAGGTCATAAGGACACCACAAAAGAAGATGAGACTGGAGTACTTGTCATCAAGTGCCGCAAAGCCTGATCCAACAGGTGCAGGTAATTTCACGCGCATCAAGGCAGATGAAACCGGCCCAGAAATTATGTTTCCCACTCCCCGTGTCATTGAGTATGCCCCGTACAATGTCATTGTTGTGTTTTCGTCCACTATATAGGATGATTATTTTACAAAGGCATCGGCTCTTGGTCCAACACTGTTTTCATTTTTTTTTTCTTCTTAAGATTAATGAATTGCTTACCTTTTAATCTCTGTATTCTTGAAAAGTAAAGGGTTGTCCAGCAGCCAGAAGTTATCCCAAAGACGATCGCAAACATAACCAGACTCGCTAGTCCTGTTGATCCTAGACCACCCCATAGCCCAAAAACACTCAGACTTGCAACTGCGCTTGTGCAGCAGCCGATCAAGTAAGGTGAAAAATGGTCGGATAATATTCCAAATATGATTTTTGAGAAGATAGTAGATACTGAAAAACGTTAAACTTTCATTCAGTCAGATTCCATCAAGTTGTTAATATTTAAGAAATTGTGGGGGGGCCTGACCGTTGAACGAAGCCAGAAGGATCATCCCAGAGGAAGGTCCCAAGGAAATAGAATGAGCATAATCTGTTTCCATGTCATCGGGGTGGGGGATAGATACCAATCAATTCCGAAAGTAACTTCCAAAATTCTTGAGAGAAAGCCAAATTGTTGCTTACTGGGAAGATAGAGTCCCGGCAAGAAGCTTCCCAAAGCCTGAAGGGTGTTTGAAAGTAGGAAACTCCAAAAATTTGTATCCTTGAAAACGGTGACATCTCCGAATGCAGCGAGAAAATTGTCTGACTTGGCCTTTGTTTCAGGCGGTCCACCAGTCCGCGGTTTGATCACATAGGCTGCCGCCCCGCACATGATCGTCAGTACCAAAGCCTGGAAAGAATTACCAGTCAGTTTCGGCGGGAAGTCAATGATCAATGGCGGAGCTATTCTTGGAGCTTACGCAATACTTCAAAGCCTTTCCAGCACCATCCATCGGCAGCAGAACTTCCAAAATGATGGGAAATACTAGTCCACCTATTCCGCTTCCTGAAAATTTATGATTCTGCATGAGATCTGATCTTGGGATTCAATAAGGAGGAGGAATCTGAAAGTAACCAACCAGAAAAGATGACACCATTGGCTAAGCCTCTACGTTCCAAAAACCATCCTGGCAGGTAAGAAAGCTTTTGATAACAACACAGGAATCAGCACTTGATCTTGAGTTCTACCAAATTACTCGAGGGGAGCCTCACAGGTGGAATGTAAGCTGCCACGCCGCCGAAGCCGAACCCCAGACCCATCGTGAGTAGCACGTGAATGCTCTTCGGGATAAAAAGTTAAGAATCATTTGTCAATAGAGCTTAGTTATATGAGAAAGGATAAAAAAAAACATGTGACACTAACGTTTTGAGCAAAGCTGGATAAAAATATACTGCCCAAAAAAATCGCCAAGCCCCCATAGGTGATCGGAACTTTCGACCTGGGGAAAATGTTAGTAAACGTTGTAATCACCGGTACTATCAAAGTTTGCTGTCAGCACGATTCCCTGATTCTTCTGCCAAATGAAATTTGATTTCTTGGACATTGAATCAAGAATCCTCAGGGGGAAAGTTACCTAAAGCAGCCATGATCCCAGTGTTGACAGTCCCGACAGAGGGTAAGATAATAGATGCCCCAGGATCGTTTTGAAACTTAGAATGAAGGTAATAGTCGAGTAAGACACCATAAGAACAACCAAATCCCTTGAAAGAAGAGCACGGTAACTTCAGACCTTTCTGAACAAACATGAATGATACCATCAAAATCGAAAGGCAAGCCATAGAATACATACCCATATAGCGAACTCCAGCATAAACATAGCGGCAAGATATCTCCATGCCGGCCAATCAATCCCGACAGCAGGTGACTTTGGTTCAAGGGATTGGCAAGGCGAAAGAGAAATAGTCTCTGGAATGATAGCCGTACTCGAGGAACTTGAGTTATTTTTAAGAGTCATCGCACTTCGCGAAGAATCGTCTTGGAAGTATAAATCCGAATCGTTCGAGTTTTCAAGATTCTTCTTGTTGGCATCCTTTGTGTGACCAAAAGTAGATAGATAAGATGAGGAAAACAGGTTGGATGAGGCACTTTTAGAGTTGTAAGCCATCAGATCCGGCTCGACCACTGATACTATTCCTACCTGATAGAAAATTGGACCAAATCCTCAACGTTACGAGCTGTAGATATAGCTGTTTTTATGGCATCATGCTGACAGTTACTTGATTAAAGAAATTCCTTAGGGAACGTTTCAAACCTGATTTAGACAATGATCCTGCCACACTGATTGCGACGATTTTCGGCAGGCATACATTTTCGGATCTTAATTGGGCTAAAGATAATGGAGATTTGCAAAAATGATGATTCAAGTCTGCTCATGGCCTCATATGCAGCACTTCTGGTGAGATCTTCATGAGCTGGAATATTTTGGAAAGATGGATTTGGAATAACAACACATGAAATCTATAGAGAACTAGGTAAACACTTGGATCGACCAGCCATATCTCCGCTAGGTAATCGACATTTTTTTCAATATAAATTCATGTTACCTAGGCCAGGACTCGCCGTTGATAGAGCACTATCTTCAGGAGGATGCTTACTCGCTTCCATACCAGATTGGAGATCGCCAGGAATTTACAACAAGTGGAACATCAATTATCCATATACTAGTGTGCATTGGAATATAGCCACTCTTGTGAACTTGGAAGGCTGCATTCACGCGAAACTTGGTGATGAAAACGTCGCTGATTGTCGATTCCTTAGCATTCACTCGTCACCTTATCGGCCAATTGTAGTTCGGTTAACAATTAACCAAGTATTCAGTTTTTTTAGTTGAAAAGACGCTTGAAAGACCGCCGTTTTTGTTTATAAAAAAAGAAGTTTAGTATACATATTACCACGCAGTACTTAAATAGGTCACGTGCATCAAACCTGACTCATGCTTTATTTGCGCACATCCTTTGGGTCGAACCGACAAGGAATTCGTGTTCACCAAATGTTCAAATCCGATAAGATACCAGGCGATTAGATTGCTATCTGATAGCGCGAATCTAAGCCAGAGCGCACAGGTCATAGCATCACGGCTAGTGAAAGGGGAAGTCAAGTCAGGTTGCTTCGATGGAAATCGGCCGTCGCACTAAATACATCCATCGAACCAGGGAAAATGAACATACAATCAGAATTCCGGATAGATAATAAAAATATCTGGGGAGTTCTCGGGCTCCAAGTGCCCGGAAGCGGATTTTTCAAACCGTTTTGTTGCGAGTTACTCTCAGTACATAGACATGTTCTGCAATGATAATCGTGAAGCGTCGCAGAGGTGACGTCAAGAGACCGATTCTCTCATGGTGAGGTTAAACCCCACATGAATTGATCGATCTTACCTGGAGCAGAAATTCTGCCCTATCAAATAATGTGCAGAGATCTTCGAATCTAGTAGGATGTCCCAGCATTGGAATAGTGCAGTGGCTTAATTTGTGTTGTCTGTTGAGTGTCACTGGTATTGATGTTATAATAATATTTATGTTGAATATCGCATGGATGGTTCGTTTTGCTAGGTTTTGGCTTCCTCTCTCGCATCGAAATCAAGCGGGGTTTTAAAGGACAGTGTGTGACTTAATGAGAGGAGTAACGACGGAAGGAAGTATTTATTATTTATTAGTTAATAGAGAAGTGGTGCTCAGGAGAGTTCAATAATAGATATCAGCAAGCTCAAGTGTAATTTGATTAGATTTCGACGTCATAGGACATCATCCAGCCCTTCAATCACCAACACTTCTTGTGAAGGTCAGTCGAACAGCTGAGCTCACTCTGAGTATTACAATCTGCATCCCCCCCCCCCAAAAAAAAAAAAATGCTACGAGTACGCGCATCTAACAGATCCAAGCTCAATCCCCACTTAAATAGTTTGGCAGTCCTTGAGGGGGTGAGGTGAGCGCCGCTTCAAGTGCAACACAGCTGCCATTCCATCATCGGTGACATCACCATGACGTGTATTAGAATCAAACGCACACATTTGGACCATGCTAGATCAACCGGAATTATGTCTCTACGATGGATTCCAATGAGAATGTAATCATTCTTTGCCCAAATTTGCTTTGAGTGATTCTATGTTCTCAGTTGGGGGCGGAGAGAGACGGAAGTATCCTGGGTTTATAACATGTTTCTTTGCTTTTCTTGCGACTTTCATGAAGGGTACCTATATATTCACAGTTTGACTGTCAAGGGAAGCATAAATCAGCCTTCAAGTTGAATGGCTTTTCGGCTGGGCAATCTGGAAGGATACGAACCCTCGAATGAGAGATCTATATCTGAATCTTTACTTGGGAAAACTTCCAACTGGAAGGATCTGTTATAAACACCTTACAATATTGTAAAGGTTTGTTGTTTAGGTGAAACACTCAACAATACTTCCAGATTCATTTGGCCAAATTGATCAATGCATGGACAGCTTCATAGGGTATATATATATAATGAATCATACCAAAAATAGGAAAAAAATGTGATCTTCTTGGAGAGATTGGACAACCAGAGCCAAAACGAGATATAATGAACAGAGGAAACAGGGGGTTGTGTGAAGACAAAAAGAAAAATGAAATAAATAGAAAAGATCAAATGAAATGAAAGAAAAAGAAAAAGACATCGTGAAGGAGTCATGTTCATTAAATTGGTTTGGGAATCATCCATGGATACGGGAACAACAAATAATAATGATAATAATGATAATAATTATGAAAACAGTGATAGGACAATGGTATAGAAAAAAAAAATAAAAGAAATGGTACTGATGACTAGCGTAAGATTTAAACAAGTTTACCAGGTTGTTGAAGGTAGCTCAAATGTGAGGGAGGATCTACGGACAAGGTGATAGGTTTCCGATTGAAGTCGATGTTAAGATTATGGATAGTGAATTCGAGGGGGTTAGTGGGGGGTTGAATGATAGGAAGCTGAGTGATAGGAGGAGGAGGGAGGCTATAAGGTAAATGGGGCATCGAGAAGGAGCTCTGGACGGCCATGGAGAGGGGCGAGATTTCGCGGTTAGAGGAGTCGAGCGAGGGGGATTGGGGCCACGAGTGGTGGTCGAAGGAGGAGGGCTCGATGTGGCCCTGCTTGTAACACCATCGTTGGAAGTCCTCGATCGAGTCCGACTTCTGCCCATCATCGCTTTTCGGCTCTGGAGCGAACAATCCCGGAGGATGATGAGCTGCTTCTTCAATTTGGAAGACAGGTGTGACTCCAATGGGGTTCACTGACAGGGAGCTTGCGGGCGTATCAAATGACGGAAATGCCCCGGTTGTCGAGTGGCATACACCACCACCTCCTCCTGCTCCTCCTGCTCCTCCTCCTCCATAGTCCTTGCTCTCGGTCGACTCAACATAAGCCGGCGCACTCGGACTGGAATCCGCAGCATATCTAGATCCAGCGATGTTTGATGAAGCGACCTTGTAAGAGTTTTTGGCGAGGTAGCTCGGCTTCCGGGCTATCTGCAAGGACGGGACAGGTTGAGGTTGTTGGGAGATCGAGGAACGCTCTGGGTATTTGGAATCATAGTCATCAACGATGATGGGGATGTTGGCATCCAGGCTGCGCAAGCGTGCAAGGTCAGCCTCCAAGGTAGCCTCGATACTCGCCTGCTTTTCTTGGACCACATCCCCAGTAGTTTCGTAGAGTCCAAAGTTCGAGCTGCGCATCCGCTTAGCTTCGTGACGCACCCGAGCCTTCTCCCGTCGCCGCTGCAGATACCACACGCCGCCGACAACAGCAATGATAACCAGTAGGACTGCAAAGATCGAGCCAATCACCGGCCCGACCACACTTTTAGAGCCAGATGGCGCATCAGACAGTGTATCGGGCGAGGAGGGGGTATCGACGTTTGCGTCTGCAACTGGGGCATTTGCAGGCGTCCCTGTTATTGACTTTGGACGGCTGGTAGAGATTGAAGGGGCGGGCTGGACGGAGTTGGGTGACGCGACGCTGGTGGGGACACTTTTTGCTGCCTGAGATACCGATGCATGTTGGATGGACGAATCCGTATTTGGCGGACTGATAGGGATTGGTACAGTGGTAGCTTGAGGGCTACTGGGAGCAGGTGCGGAGGTCACTGGAGGATTACTGATAGGAGGAACTACTGGGGCGGGAGCGGTGGATTTGGTGGGCCTGTAGTGAGTGAGTGTCAAGCTCAACATGTCAGCCTCAACTGAAGGGTATCTGAGCTAAAAGTGATGTTGGATGGAGAACTCTTGATTTGAGACTGACGTTGATACTTTAGGGCTGGCGGTGGCCGCTGGACTGGCAGCTTGGGAAGAGGCTAACGCTGGACTGGCAGCTTGAGGAGAGGCCATTCGAGTGGTTGCAGATATCTTGAGGGGCGATGCGGCAGGAAGGACAATGTCTGTAGAATAGCGATTGAAGAGAGAGCTGAGAGGGTCGCTTGTATAAGTCTTTGAAAATTCGCCCAGGCTCGCAGGTGGGTTAGATGTTTTTGTAAAGTGAATAGACTAGAGTCAAGAGAATGATTGAGAAAAAAAAAGAGAAGGAAAATAGAAATAGACAGAGCCTGCTTTCTCGGAGGAAAAAAGTAAACCAGTCTCAGTCAGATACCGGTTGAAATTGAATGTCTTGGCCAGTTCACTGTTGGTTTCTCTGTCTGGCGTCAAGTTGATGCAGGGACGAACCAACAAGCTATCGAATGGGACAACAGGAGCCCAACCCCGGAGATGAAGGGGGGGGGGAATAGCAGCACATTACAGGGGACGGGATGGCCCAAGCGGGAGGTCTGAGAGCCATGTGAATAGATTATGTAGTCAAAGCAGGCATACTTTGGACATAGCTGATCCATAAATGGGTAAGCTACCACCAACTCGCCACGGTTAACCATTACCTGGACCGGATGGTTGCCTCTTGGCTGCTGGCAGTTCTGGTGAACAGAGCCTGCACTATAATGTACAAATCGATGATGAGCCCTCACAAAGAAAGAAAGAGCTCATTTGGCCAGACAACTCAGCCAGCAGATCATCTCTCCAGCCGGATTAGATTCTTCCACAAACTCAAACTCCACTTACAAGACTCTCACAGGCTTATCTTCTTACTTCTTTTCTGGGTGTACATACCGTTATGTTGGCATGGACGGATATTACACGCATACATATAACATAGACCATTCCGAAGCCACCGGCTCAACTGGTGGCAGACAGGCGGAGTGACGCCAGACCAGATTTTGCTGTCCCACCTGCGCTTCACATTGTAAACTTTACAACAGAAAAAAAATCAATAGTAAAAGGATCGCGAACGGACAGAAACATCTGAGAAAGGAAGAAAGAAGGATAGAAGAAGACGAATAAAACACTACAGTTATATTTACTTGCATTTCACCTATTACATCGAATAATTCTTTCTTTTTTTTCAATTTGTACAAAGGTCATTGGATCAAGCTATCTGTAAAACAGCCCAGGGTCTGACTTGCAGGTCTGACATGCATTATGGGCACCAGATTCGGGAGCAGAATAAAGGCAAAGAAAGAGACGCAATTCATGATGACTGAATCCGATCCAGTTGGGCTTGATAGATTCGTTCGGAGCTTTCGATCTCTTTCTCGATTTCGCGTATCTTTTGTCTTAAGCGTTCCTTACGCTGTTTGATAGAATCGGAAGGAGAAGGGTCGATGTTTTTACGTTTGGAAACCAGACGAATGTGATCCTCTCTGAGTAGCTGATTGACTGTCCAATGAGTGCCGACGACCGAGTTCATGTGCACGTGGTTATTGGTATATCGACGCAATGCTGAGTTTCGGGTGGCGAAGCACTCCAAGGGTTCGCAGGTCGCCAAGAATTGCTCGTCCTGGCGTTGTTGATGGATTAGTTGCTGCTGTTGGGCGATACGCTGTGATCTGATATGGGTTTGTGAGTTGAGGAGATGCTGAGCCATTTGCTGTTGCGAGGCTCGTACCATGATCGGTGGTGCTGGTGGATTAGGGGACAGCTGATGGGGGACTTGGCTGGGTTTGCCATAGACTGCCGTATGATTATAGTTGGGTATCGCATGCTGCTGTGGATTAGAATGAGGCTGGAAGTTGGGCTGACCGGGGGCGACGGTGGCCATCTGATAATTGTTGAACTGCTGAGGATGAGGGTGGGAGGATGGATAGGCTTGGTAAGCTTGTGTGGGTTGGTTCGCTAGGGTGGCTGGGTTGAGGACTTGATGCTGCTGCTGTATCCGTTGAGATGACGTGATGACCGGCGGAGGAGGCTGAGAGGGAGGTCTGGAGAACAACTGAGGCTGCAACTGAGCTTGGAAGGACTGAGGATAGGATGAAGGATACTATCTCGACAACAGACCAAAGAAAATCAACAGTCAGGTCTAGTACTGAGATGTCCACATACTCTTCGATCTCCTAGGTCACCACCAGGTTATAAAGTCGATCGTAGGGATTTAAATAATTATAGAAACAAATTAAGACCAACATCCTGAGGCATGGCCTGATGGGGCTCCTGAGCCCCGCCGTTCATTCTTGAGCAAAGTTCTTCGGAACGGTTATATTATTGATGCCGAGCCGGATCGTAACCGAGTTCTGGAAAGCGAAGGGGAGTCATAAATGCCTTCAACAACCCTGCTCGATCGATGGATGCTGATTGATAGGGATGAGAGCCTAATCATGACGAACCTTGGAGGAGAAAAGAAGAAGTCACCAACATCCAAGCGCCAATCGAGCTCGACCAGCCAGCCAAGGGGTTGCGCGCTGGCCAAGGGATTTCACATGCCTTTCACCAAATACATATCTAGTGCGGCTTCAAGCACCTTGCAGGTCAATGAATAAAATGACGAAAAGACTCTGCAACTTAACTGGGGCCATTCATATATACTAGGACGGTTCACGTCTGAACTTTGAGGCAAATTTAATGACATTTATCATTAAAATTTTGCAAATTTACCAAAAATCTCAAATTCCTCCAAACTTGATGCTTCATGAAATTTTACAAAATTCATAAAATTTTATCTTCAAGTGTGTTAAAAGTTGCCTTGAACTTCAGACGTGAACCGGCCTACTTCGTGTCTAAGGGTGGGGTGGGGCGGTGGGTGGCAGGGCACACTGAAAATTTTAATCTCTCTATCTCTACATTTCCTTTTTTTTTGCTACCACTATTTTGCTTGGTTTTGGTGCTTCAACAAAAAAAACATATCATGATCAAAAATCTGTATTAGATTTACAAAAGTTGAAAACATTTCAGGTGAGTAATTTTTGACAAAAGAATATCTCATTCATACATCATTGGTACACACCATTTTGGATTTTTTGGCTCAAGGTTCCCACTCGTCATGGGTACCCAGCTCCACAGGGAGTAGCCAGGTTCATAACTCGATTCCAATATATTTCATCTATTGGAAAATGAACTGAATCATGAAAGAGTTAGTTGTGTCTCTTCAACAGAAATCATCAAATAAACTAACATCACTTATACATGTAGAGATGTCAAAATGAAGTCAAAAAATGTTGATGGAGCAGAATGAGCAAGACAACCTGGCCAAGATGTTTTTTGAATAGTTATTCAGAAATTCAACTATGAATAAAGCACTCTAAATTAACTTGTATTTTCTGTAAGCTTTCTGACAGATTTAGCATCCTAGAAGTGAAAATAAACAAGTTTATGTTTCTTGGAAGACAGACAACCTTCCTAAACATTCAAATTTGAATCATTTACGGTTTTGGTGCTTTTGCTTTTTATTTTATTCTCTTGTCCAGTTTCTTATTTATTCACCAAACCTGCAAACTTGCTAGCATCCAATAGACATAGATCACCCAGACTGGCAGACAGGTATAAGCTTTTGAGTCTGAACGGAATATGTTACAAGTCCATTGATACTGTCTCCTGGACCAGGGCATTAACATTACAATTTCGAGTCCTTATGATTTGTGATGATCATCCCATTAACGTGATTCTCTAGGTCAAGTTCCAATATATGTCTAGTTGCACTGCATGAACAAGATGAAAAGTTACAGCAACCTGGAGGAAGAACCCATTCCATACAACCTTAGATTTAAAATGAATTCAAAAAAAAAAAAAAAAAGATCCTGAATGATTTGGGAAAAGTAGGACATGAGATATTGAAGAATTGTGAGTTTCCAACAAAGTAAAATCATCATCCTTAACAACCAAATATAAACTAATGGTAAGAGAGGGAAGCCACTTCGATCTTTTTCAAGAGACCTTTCAAACTTTTACCGCCTTTCTCACAATTGTTTTGTAACCAATCTTCCATTTGAAATCGGACGGATCTCAAGTCGAGAGTATTCGGGATATGAGAAGGATTGAGACAAACCTCGAAAAGATTAGCCCAAAGTTCGGTCTGATGATACCTCTTAAACCCAGGTTTGATCGAATCTTTCTCGGTCATAAATGAGCCGAAGAGCAAACAATGAGCGATCCCAAGAATCCCGTGATAATCCGGCTGGAAGCTCCACGCTTTCCCGGTCCTCATCTCCAGACAATCGTACTCATCGGTCTCCCATTCCGCGATGAATTCTTGGGAAGGTGGGAACACTCCGGTATCGATCGCCCGTCCATAATCAATCAACTTCAACCCTTTATAACTCCATCCATTCTGGCCCTGTGGATCATAGGTTGACAGCCACGATTTGTTACCGCCAGGTATGCTTTGTAATCTGACCATGCAATTGTCCACCTTCAGATCCCCATGTATGTATCCAGCTTCATGCAGTCCTTCGACTACTCTCATCAATTCGATGGTGAAGAACATCGCCACCAGCTCATCCACCCCTCTAACGATTCCTGGTGCAGTCGGCTTGATTCCGATCTCTGCCGCCCGATTGACGATGTCGAGTAGAGTGCCTTGATCCGAGTAATCCATCACGAGGAAACTCTCGTCGGCATATGCGTATAGTTTGTGTGGCTTGATTATCGACTCACATAGCCTTTCGGATAGCGTCTGATGGAGTTGAGAGAGGATCGAAAACTCGTACAGATTCGGAGGGCTTTCAACTTTCATGGCTTTCTGAATCGAATTGTCTTCGTACATCGCAGTGCAATCCTCCTCGACTGACTCACTAACCCTGAAGACCGATCCATAAGTGCCTTCCCCTAGTTTCTCGTAAATAATATACAGATCATCGCCTAGATTCACTTCCCATAGAGCTTCTTCGGCGGTCACACTGCCGTGGGAGTGTTTACGATTCCGGGTTTTACAGCGTTTCCGTAATTGCTGTAACTTTTCAGACCGGTGATCGACTAATGATTGATATCCAGGATAGCTATCCAATGGAGGGTCAAGTCCTTCTAGTAGAATATTCACAATATCTGGGGCAAATGGATTGCAAGGTTCGCATGCCTGAATGGTCGTTGGGGAGGGAGGGATGTATTGCTTCGAGTAGGTTCGCAATGGCGAGGCCATCACGGAATCATTATCATGATCGTTTTCCGGTGACCGTGAGAGGGAATTCGGTGCGCGGGGAAGACTTGAATGTTGCAACTGGGCGACAATCTTGGAGGGTGTTTCCAGTGAGTGGCGTAATCGATACGGTGAATCTCTGATCTCACACGCTTTTGCAAACATTTGTCCAGGCCCTCGATGATCAGGAAAGTTCTCATTGGGATAAGATGAGTCTTGACCGGAGTTTTCGTCGTTCAGATGATTGGGTTTTGGTGTCAATTCGGCTTCGTCGTCATCGTCATCAAAAACAACTCCTGGAAACTTTCCTGTTCTTTGTTGGTGCAGTGAGAATTGAGCCTCTTGAATTCTGTTGACGTATCTAGGCGCAGTCATCGAATTGTATTCACTTGTCCGTTCAGTAATTGGAGTAAGCGCATTGAAGTTATCGCCCGTAGGAACAAACCGAAGTGGCCGGGCTATCAACCGGTCCTCTCTATCAACATCATCTTCATATTGGTAATGATTGTTCTCGTACTCGGCTTCGTCTTCTCTGTCCATATCTGATTGATACTCTTCTTGCGACGGGAAGAGAGGCATATCCTTCTGAATATCTGGAGTGTTGTATTCATTTGGGAATTGATTTGCCGGGTTTTCGGGCTCCCATTGAAATCTATTTGTCTGCAACACTCGGCGATCTGGTTCCCGTTCATCAAGAGCTTCGCGATCGGTTAGGGGTTGCTGAGGATACGTTGCTTTGTCGGCAAGTGGGATACGAGCTCCAGGGGCGGGGTAGGTAGGTTTGGGACCAGAAAAAGGAGCCATTGAAATTTCATTCTCATCCGCAAAAGGGACAACAGGAGCGAGCGGTTTTCGGACGGGTTTAAACGCGCCCAGTCCCCGTGATGGTCCAGAGGAGGAGGATAAGCCTGAATGGTATCAAGCGGCAAGTCAGTTTCATGGTGAGAAAAGAGACACGATTTGGGTGACGTGAACTACTCATACTCACCATTGAGTGGCTGACGGCAAGCCAAGGCATTTTCGTCTTGGAATTGAGCTGGGTTATAATTACCCAGGTGATTTTCGTCATTAGGATTGGAGGTTTGCTGAGGTTGAGACCAAAATGTGACGTCTGCAGTGGCGTCACGAACTCCGGCGACAGTGTATGCAGTATTTTCGTCATATAAGCGATCATCATCCCCAAGGTCACTGTTATCGAAATTATCATCCGATTCGTCACTGTTCTTGGCTGGTTTACCGTACATGTTGTAAACTTCATTGATGGCTTCTTGAGTGTTCATAGTAACGGATGCACGCCTATTACGCGGTTTGATATAGCCGACTGAGTCATTTCGGACTGGTGAGTCTAAGTTGATGGATATTTCCGCGTCAGCAATAGCCTCTTGTCCTGAAACATCGTCGTCAAGATCCTCATCCGTGGAAGTTGTTATATTCGCCAGGTTCAAATTTTCCATTGGCTCACTGTCCGCCATGGATTGATCTGCCTCCGTAGGCGGAATCTCTGAGGAATCCGACTTCGAGTCAAGCAAATCGTGGACTAGGTTTTCGTCGTCACTGAGTTGCATCTCACTCGATGCCGAAGAGCTAGCTTTGAGATAATCAAAAAGGGGCTCTGATGCACGGGTGGGAAAGGAAAGGTGAACACACATCAGACGTTGGTCGGTTTGTTAGTTGTAAAATGGGACAAACCTTGCGATACCGGATCGTAAAGTATAGGGGTGCCATCGAGATTATAATGGTACCATTCTGGTGGGCGTGATATTGAGTGAGTTAAGGGTTGATACAGAAGATTAGGAATAAATTCGACTGACTGCCGCTGGTGGATGCCTCTACTTCCCAAGGTTCGACGCCCCAACGCCGAGAACCGTATTGCTGTGTTGCTTTGTATTCCTCTGGACTTATCTCAACTCCATCGCCGGGGTATAACTTGGAAAGGTCCAATGCTAATTTTTGAGTGGTGGGTGCGGGAGGCTTTTTGAGGGGAGGCTCAGTTGGATTTTTCGGTGGATCAGCAGATGAACTAATCCGATGGTTTTTCAGAGGATCGTCGCAAAGCTCATTGCAATTTGGGGTTGGTGGCTGTGGTGATCTATCTGAAGTGGATTGCGAGACGCGTTTTAAGACTGAAATCTTCTTTTTCTTCAATCGATTAAGAGGTTCTGCTCCACGCTGAATTCCAAGATCAAAGATTTCTTCGATTGTCTTGAGATTATCTGGATGTTGATCGACTGAGCTGGCCCATTCCTCGTAGAACATGCTAAAATCGATGCCAATCTCTTTAGAGTTTAGATATTCGTATATCTTCGTTGCACCAAGTTTCGAACAATGTCTGGCATATAAAACCCATAGTTTGAGATATCTTAAATCTGATCGATATTGTTTTTCGTTGACAAACCGACGCGTCGATTGTTCGAGGATGATGATCAGATTCTTTTTCAGATTTTCTTCCTGTGGGCCATACGTGTCCAAAGTCCAACGTACGTATCTATTGAACATGTAAAAGAACAAATGGTGAGCTAGTGTGAGTGGATAGGGGCAAGGAGATTGAAATTCTTCTTACAAGAGATGTGCATCAAGAGGGTCTTCTAGTAGGTCGGCGGGAAGTAGTCGACCAGCAGCTTTTTCACCATTTGCGACTCGATCAAGTAATTCGATTGTCCGTAGGTGAGTTTGTCGTTCCTGCTCGATTTCTTCATCTGCCACTGAGAGTTGTTGTTTCGATTTGCCCTTCTCCTGAGCAGAATCTCCAGTTTTTGAGTTGGACTGGTGTTGACTGGCTGGCATGAGTGAATAGTTGAGTGTTGTGGAGGAAGTTGATGTTGAGGATGTAAAGTCTCGTTCACAGGGGGACTGCTACATACAATCTTGTATGTATGGACTTAAGTACATACCTGGTATGCATTTATCGTGTCCCAGTGCCGCATACATTGTACTCCAGGCTGATCTCTTTGTTTCTCGACTGCTGTTTGAAGAGGAAGAACTAACATAACATAATCCAGAACGAACAAGAAAAAGAATGAGACAAGCTCCCCAACCGATACCAGTGTTTCGTCATGACTTTGTGAGTCCATCAAAACACCTATCAGAACCTTGAACACATCAACTGAAATACCATTCATCCATCCGTTTGGATATGTAGATAATCACCAAGAACTTCTCGAGGGAGGTCATTCGAAGTTAGGTATTGATAAAACCTCATTGATCTGGTCGACTAGTTAGGAGTCAATCGAAAAAAAAAACCTTGACTGATTTCCTCGGATTTCGATCAACAGCCGTCATTCATGCGATCCTCTTCCATCGAGTCTTTGGTTCCGTCCAGCCGAAAGAAGTCGAAGTCTTAGGAATCACATTCGTAAGCAGGCTTTTCTTTCTTCTTCTTCTCCTTCTCCATGGTCCACCCTCCCGATTCGAAATTTCAAGAAGTCCAGAGCTCAGTGTTGATTACATAAATCTATTCGGTTTATCTCCAAACCAAAAAAAAAAAAAATTAAATGTACTTTTAACGAAAAAAGCCTCAGGTGGTCGAATCTGAAATCGAAGACCTCGTCAACCAACGCACCGAACGAGCAGTTGTGGCCTTAGAGCACAAGACTCCTTCAATATTGGTATGTTCTACATTTCATCGCCACAATTTGCTCTTAGCTTGGCTGACCAGTTTTGACTCAATCTGCACAAGTTATCGATCAGATTCCTAGAGACCCGATTGAATCCGAACAACAAGGATGACAAATCTTGGTTCAAATCTAGTTCGTCATCGCCTAGCAAGCACCATCAACAAGAAGAACAAGAAGAAAAAACAGTAGAGGAGGATGGCTTGGTTTGGGAGAAGTGGGAGATCGGCTTTAAGATCCATTCGATCCCAAACTCTTATCCTTCCTCCTCTCTTAAGAATACCGGCCACCATCTGTTATTCAATCCGATTGGCTATCTGAGTGCCAAGTCCGATAAGTCTTCCGGTCCGTCCTTCCCAGCCCAATAATCTCTCTCGGAAAATGAGAAACTTGCTCATTACCCCCTCCCCCCTGGGCAAATAGACCACTTGGAGTCTTACAGGTCTATCCAACATCAACTCAACCAATTCCTGACTCGATTAATCGATTTTGTCTTGAACGAACGGGATCATGTGCCGGCCATCACCAACTCTGATCTACTCCCATTTCCGGTTGATGTACGTGATCTTGATTTAGTAACGTTTTGATGTTGTTGTTGACATCGAGGAGAATCTGTTCTTTCCCCCCAGATTTCAATTTTACCCGCGTCGCATGGTTGATGCACTTGATATCATCTTTAACAAACTTCTCTTTACCGTCTTGTTGTTTAAGTAGAGCATAAATAAAGCAATGTAACTAATTAATACGTAGAGGAGAGGTGTGTGTTATTTGAGAGTCTATGTGCCCAGTCGTGCTTGATGAGTAATATTTTTGCAGTTCAAGTTGGGTTTATATTTGGTCGTTCCACTTGACTGTGTTTCCCAAGATGACTACTCCCAAACCACTTCGAATCGCTTTCATCCATCCTGACCTGGGCATCGGTGGCGCCGAACGCCTGGTGGTCGATGCAGCCATCGGCCTGAGCCGGCTCGGTCACTCTGTCAAGATCTATACCTCTTCCCACCAACCAGAGCGAGCGTTCATCGAGACCACCGATGGGACGATCGATGTCAAGCTACTCGGCAACAATCTCTTCCCGAGATCGATCAAGAACCGGTTCATCACCATCTGTGCCATCCTCCGCCAACTCCACCTGACCTTCAACCTGATCGTCTCCAGATTATTCTCAGACGAGGACTCGGCTGATCTCTACTTCGTCGATCAACTTTCAGCCTCGATCCCTTTACTCAGATATGCTACTCGCACCCGGGTACTATTTTACTGCCACTTCCCCGACCTACTACTCTCCCCAAGCAACATCAACAGCAACTCATTCGGAACTAAAGGCTGGATCTTGTCAAAACTGAAGTCGACCTATCGGATCCCATTGGATTGGCTAGAGGAATATACAACAGGTCCGTCCAATCATTTATCACTGCTGTCATGCTACTATCTGACTGGCTGATTATCTTCCTATTTTGTTTCGTCTTCATTGCAGCTAATGCAGATACGATCCTTGTCAATTCTCACTTTACCGCCGAGGTATTCGGTCGAACGATGACCTCGATCAAAAAGAAGCCTCAAGTCGTCTATCCTGGCGTGGATGTAAACATCTACGACTGCCCGAAACCCGATCAGCCAGACCAGAAACCTAGCGTCATTCACTCGTATGCTTCTATTCTTTCCCTTCACCTTTGCTTCTTTCTCTGATCTCTCAATTTCATCTACCTAGTGACCGGCCGACGATTCTATCGATCAACCGGTTCGAAGAAAAGAAGAATATCAACTTATTACTCCAGGCCTACATTCAGCTGAGGAAGAGTGACAGCGCTCCTGGTGCTTCAAGTTTGGTCCCTCGATTGGTCCTGGCTGGTGGATACGACGAGCGATTGATGGACAACAGGCGGACGTTGAAGGCGCTCCAGGAGAGTGTCCCAAAGGATCTGGTTCAACTGACGCTGTCGACCGAGGATGTTGGAGGGGCGGAGCGTATGCCGGACGTGCTGTTTCTACTCAACGTATCGCAGGAGCACAAGCTGGCGCTGCTACATGGCCGGTCGACCAAGTTGCTCGGCTACACGGCCTCGAACGAGCATCTCGGCATCGGCCCGCTCGAGGCTATGGCCTGTCGGCTACCCGTCTTGGCCGTCGACTCCGGTGGGCCTAAAGAGACGGTCAGTGACACCCGTACCGGCTTCCTCGTGCCCCCTGATCCGGAAAAATGGGCCCAGTCGATCCGGAACATCCTTGCTATGGACGACCAACAGCGGCGCCAGATGGGAGATGCCGGACGGGACCGAGTCCTCGAACTCTTCTCCACTGAGGTCATGGCTAAGCATTTCGAACGTGCAATCCAAGATATACTTGGCCCCGTCCGTCAGACCGATCTCTGGCTCGAACAGGGATTCTTTCATCTCCTCGCTTTCATCTTGGTCCCCTTCCTGACAATCTGGGTCGGAACTTGGAAGTTCATTTAGCAAAATCGTCGACGTCGTGTAGATGAAAACTTCGTAGCCCTGTGCTTCTCCATCTCAATTAATTTATTGCTTCCCTCTTCCTGTTAGAACCCAAAAATAATTATCGTTAGTCATAAGTACCTCAGACGCAGTTTTCCCATCTCACATTTTTAGTGATTCGCATTACAGATCAGATCATGCCAACCATCTTGGAGTGGGTTAAAAGAGAGAGAGAGAGATTCACCACAGCTACTCATGTCACTATTTCATCACGCTAAACCTCTTGAATGCTGTATCTTTTGTCTTTTCCACAAAGGACCGATTCAATTTTTTTTGTTTCAGTCAATCCATGCAAATCCCATATTGGTATTCACAAACTTTGTTTTTTTTAAGTTTTGTCTTTGACATGTGTCTAGATTGACCCAAGGCCAAGCACACACGTAAAAGCTACAATCCTTGTTAATGTTTTTGTGAATGAAGTGATGAAAACTCCAAGTTCAGGTTTGGAACCAGGGGCAAAAGCTCATCCCCAATCCACCCTGAATACAAACTACACCTTGCCCTAGAGATTGTTTGTTTGTACTTGGGTATCTGTTCAATTTTCTAAGAAAATAGGTATCAAGTACCGCAGCTGGCACTGCCCTGCAGGTACCACCGGTTCTTTTGGCAGGCACCAGCGTGTAACGTTTGAAGTTTTGTTTGACGAATTGCCTTATTGAATTGTAGTTTTACTGAAAACTTACTGATAAGTAAGATTATTTACTTATTTGATATTGGTAGTTAGTTGTTATTTGAATCTTTACAACTAGTCGACTTCATTATAGATGTCGTCATTTCATTAGCGGGGTTCACGATAAGCTTTTTGGCTTCTCGCACCCCTTAATTTTTTTTCTCACACCCACATTTCTTGCATTAAATTTTAGCTTAAAATTTTAACCCGCAAAGATTTTGCACTTCTCGCCTCTCACACCATCTCACACCAACCACTCTCTACATAGCGAGACTTCTCGACTCTCATCACCCATAGCCATCACATCTGTTTCCAACCTCACCAACACAAACCTCTCCCATCACATCAACTATCGAAGCCCAAGCATCGGTCATTTATGGTAAGTCTGGATTTTCTTCCACGAGCAAAGCATACGTGACTTACTTAGCACTGCGGTGGTTTCAGATGAATCTAGATCCTACTTTGGCGACTCAATCATCAGACACCGAAATCCCTTTGACACCTCTGGCATCTCAAGGTTTGTCAACCGCTTCAAATAATTTGACTTCAGCCTCACAAAGAACAGGAAATGTAACGAGGAAAAGGTGTACTAAGCGTGAAATGGAGGAGTATCGAGCGGAATTGGCAAAGAAAAAGGAGGAGAAACGACTGGAGCGAGAGCGAGCTAGAGCCGAGAAAGGAAGAAAGAATCAGCAAGGCAAGGGGAGTCAAACTCCAGGCGGTGTTGGATCTCAAACATCGCATTCATCTCAATCTCAATCGCATTCAGACTCCAATGCGCCTTTTACGATTGAGGACTATGAACTGATTTGTTTGTATCTGGAGGTTCCTGAGAATTATTCAAAGCTTTACGGTAGCGGCGATCAAACGGATGTTGGACCTCAACCACTTACTAAAACGGCGGCATACAAGATGTTTGCGATCTACATGAATAGTAACTGCGACAAGCGATATAAGCTCACTGGTGCTCAGCTTCGACAACGATTAGATCGATACAAGAAGAAATTTGCGGAGGCAAAGAAGTTTGCGGAAAATACCGGAGCAGGGATAGAGGAAGAGCATGGAATTTCATCGCTTCGGGAGTTACTCAACGACAAGTGTCCTTGCTACGAACGCATGGATGTGATTTTTGGTGCGAAGCCAAACGTGACTCCTTGTATGCAATACGACTCGGTTAATGGTTCAAATCTCTACGGGAGCTCGGACGGAAGCTCTCCAGAGATAGTTTATTCGGGTTGGGAGGAATCACAGCGCGACGGTCAGGAGTCGAGTATGCACGACGATGATGAGACTGGTATGCGGAACGGAGAGGAGACGAGTATGCGCGAAGGTGAGGAGACGACTATGCGTGACGGAGATGATAATACGACTCCGGGTGGCCAAGGAATCCCAGACTTCGGGGCAGAGCTTCCGGCAGATCTCCTTGGGCTGAACTCATCGGGAGTTGAGCCTGCCGAGAGGGCTATGGCATCGTTGCAGGTGTCCCCTTTGGGCGATTCATTAGGCCTCAATCTCGCAAATCAATCAGACGCTTCATCGACTCATCGTCTCTCTTCATCCACTCATCGTCGTTCACCATCTCGGGTTCCCTCGTCGTCGACCAATAGAAGTAGTACCAGAGAATCTAATGCCGAGAAGACGACCAACGGTAACACCCGATTGCGAAATGTTCTCACACCTGATAACGAAGGGCCTCCCAGAAGTCAATCACAAGGGAGTCAGGCCAAATCGACGCTCGCAGGTGCCTTTGAAAGGACCACCGACGCCAAACTGGGTCAGTTTCAGAGCCAAGTAGAAAGGCAGATGAATTGGGAGCGAGAGAAGTTCGAGCTTCAAAAAGCAAAGGATCAACTCGATCACGAACGACAGGCGCGTCTCGAGGAAGCACGAGACGCTCGTGCGGCACAAAGGGAAGAGGATCGTTGGAAGCAAGAGATCGAAAGAGATCAGCGGCGATTTGATCGAGAGTATCAGATGGATTGCAACCGATTGAACTGGGAAAGGGAAAAATTCAACTCGGAACGTCAGGAGCGAGTTGGGCGATTACAACTCTTAAACCTTTGGACGACTCAGGGGAAAACTATTGAAGAGATTGAACGGATGATGAGATTAGCCTAGGGGTCAGTGTTGACACATCCAATTCTGAATGTTAGCATTCTCATACTGACTGCTCTTTTGCTTTTGATAGTTTAGTTGTTTGCGGTTTTCCACCCGTTCAACTGTGATCATTTTTTTCCTCACGTTTTTAAGACTGTTTAGTTTACTTCTTCAACTTGTTTGCTTGGTTCACAGTTTTTTTTTTTTCTTTTTATTTTGGTTCAGTTTGCCTTTTCAACACCTTCCCTTTGTTGCATTGCAAGGCCCTTTTTTCTGCCCTCAATGCGAGGGCCTTCTTTCTGCCCTTTTTTAAGTTTGTTTAGATTTATTTTTCATTCACTCCGATTTGATGAAGAAAGCGAAAGATTTGATAAAGTTTCAACTCCTGTGCTTCAGTACTTTGCCATCGGCTTTGGCGCTTCTTTTTTTCCCCAGGTTTCAAGTTTGTTTAGTGTTATATCTCACTCACTGCAGATAAAAGAAGTCATTCATTCATTGATCGCATACAGAGTGGCATTGGAAGATAAACAGTTTATATTGACAGAGACAGAAACAAAACCAAAAGAAAGATATGACTGCCTCCCGAGCACCAATGAAAATTCAACAATAAATGTATAAAATCAAGAGAGAACAGAGATATGATTCGTTAAACAGTCCCCTGGTTGCGATGGAAGGCCAGACATTTTTCTTGTACATGATTCCGAAACGCTTCCGCCCTTCTTCGACTGCTCTCCGAATTCGTCAGAGGTGCTACATTTTCTTCCTCGCCTTCGTCGCCTCCGCCAATGTGAACCGCATCCCAAGCGTCGCCCAAATTAGATAGCATGTTGTGTAAGGTGATACAACAGCTAACCCAACGGATGATCTCTTTCATATGAGACTTCTTGTGTAAATGCAGTCGAAGTTGCTGGAGCGATGCCCACCGTCCTTTCAGGATTCCAATTGTATGTTCATTCCTCACTCGCGATTTCGCCAGGCAATAATTGAAATCCGTGTTGTCTCGCTTGTTTGATGCCGGCGCTTTGTATGCTGGTATAGTCGTGCAGGACAAACCATACGCTGAGTCCGCGATAAGATACTGACCTTTTGAGGAAAAAAAATGTGCAATATGAAACACAAAGAATCAATAAACAAAAGACATACCTGCATCAAAGTAATCCCCAGCTTGCATGTGAAGAGTTGTGTTACGGAAAACCCAACTGTCACCACATGAACCTGGCCAGCCTACCGTGAATGAGGTGATGTACCTATCACAATCGCACACTATTTGGCAGTTGACCGAGTATTTTTTTTTTCGATCCCAGTAAGCTTCTCCTTCGAGTCCTGGTCGCTGGTGCAGAGGTATAGTCGTTCCATCGACAAATCCGACACATCCACCAAAGCCTTCCTCCTTCATCACGTCTGAGATTTCTGCTCTTCGATATCGATCAGGCCACACAACATGCTTGGAGGAAAGGCTGTTAATTGCTTCGATGACTCGTCGACTGACTTTGATGATCGTTCCCCGCCCGACTGTAAGATTACGCGAAAATATCCCAACCAAGGCACCATTGCCATTCGAACCAAGCCTCTCTAGTGTCAGTGCCAGTTGGTGAGGAATCGGAAGCTGAGGACGATGACTTTGACTATGGAAAACGGGGTGGAGAGAAATCCGGTCAAGTAACCACAAGAAGGCCTCCTTCGTCGTCCTAACCGACTGCTTGAAGTCTTCGTCACGCATGTTGAACAGTCTATCCAGGTCAAAATTACCGTGAGTCCTCGCTGACGAACGATCGTTTAAGTAACGGCAGGATAGGATCACTTGTAGCAGAGCCTCGAACCACGCCTCATCGCCTAGGAATCTATCGCAAGAAAGCTGAAGATATGGGTTGTTAGGGAATAAGATCGAACCAAAAGAAGGTTGTCGAGGGATGTTGAGTACTTGATCGAGATGGTTATCGGTATCTTCAAGGTCAAGGAAAACTAGGATCAAGAAAATGTCCTTGATGAGCTGTTGACGTTCGCTCGGCTGGCGCATGACTGACTCCTAATCCGCAAAACTGTTTCCAATGAGGGGGGACTTCTTGCGCAAGAATTCTCGTTTGGAATTTTAGGCTTTATTTTAAGACCGCAGCACATGCTGCGGTTTCTCGTGGGGACGAAGTGGGTTTCTTGCGAGAACTTATCGTGAACCCCGCTATTATGACTAGGGAATAGTGTGGCTGGCGCCACATTTAAGATCTCAGCTTAGTGAAACAGGATTACAAAAAGAAAAGTATACATTAGGGGGGTTCAAGATTCAATTTTAGAGCCATATTTAACATCTTTATGAGGAGCATTTTCTAATTTTTGTGGGTTTCTCAGAATGAGCATTTCTGAGCATTAGAGACAGATTTAAGTGTAGTGTAGTTGAGGAATAAGTTTAACTGAGGATTGAAAGAGGCCGATGTTCATGGGCCAAAACCAATGCACAACTTCCTGAGGTCGCTGTTTAACAATGAATTTGGCACAGGATTTCGGCATAATCATCTACCTTGACCTAATTCCGAATAAGGCAACCGGTCCTTGGCCAAATCTATTTAACGTCGCGCTTTCTTAAGCTTTGAAAAGGAGAAGTGTTGGCTGGAATAGAGAATGTTGCTCAGTACAGGTCTTGTTAAAAATTATTCTTTGACATTGCCGGCACAGATGCTCTTTTTTCGATGATGGCATAAATGAATTATATCCTCAATATGATCTTCCACTCGTTATTTGACCTGCTTGTTTAGTGAGTGGCTCAGGCAAATAAATACGCATTACCAAAAATTCGTTTTGTTTCCAGATCCGATGGAAGACTTAAGACACATTATTGTTAATTAACATTTCATTGCTTGATTAGTCTATTAGAACAATTGTTAAAAATAGGCAATGTACTGAGAACGACAACCCATCCGTGAATATATAGAGCGCGGTTAACAATGAAATTGAGGGGAAAAGGGAGGATGGTGAGATAGGGGCAGGCATGTGGTAGGAGTTGATGTTTTGGTGGCAGTTCAGGGAGCGGTTGATGATTGGAGGAGAAAAGTGAGGGAGTTGAGAGTAAACAAAGAAGGGGTAGGAACAGGCGACAAGATGAAGAGAGATATGAGGGAAATCGAGTAGAAAAGCGAAGAAAAAGGTACAAGCAATGAAATGGAGAAGAAAAAGCAATTCTATTTTTGGAAGAGGGATTCGTCTCTGAATAAGGAAGTATTTGAAATGAAGAGCAGAGGTGAGGTTCTATTTTGGGAAAAGAGTTTTGGCTCTGAATAGAACTATTTGAAATGAAGGGCAGCGGTGAGCCTTGGGCTGTGGGTATAAGAGGAGGAGGTCAAGCAGTAGTTTTGAGGCTAGGGGCTCCAAGACTTAAGGTCACCAATGGTACCCTTCACAGAACATAACAGAATTCTTGCAAAAATTTCCATTTTTTAGGGAATTATCTGTTTTGGATTGACTCGAGTTTTGTTTTCCTTATTAATATATATATGATTGGTTGTTTCTCTTTGTCCTCTTTTCTTTCTTTTTCCTCATCGTGATTTCTTTGTTTTATTTATCATCTTTACATCTCGATCCTCGAAATAAAACTCTCAAGTTCTTTTCCTTATAAAACCCTTTCAAGAGTTTATCTTTCTTTAGAAAGTAAACTACCCTTACTCTTTCATAATATAGACGGTTTACTCTCTTGAGTAAACTTATAGTCACTCAAGAAAAGAAAGTAGTAGGCGGGCTCTCACAATTAAATCACGATCTTTTTTCTTCGAAATCCTCTTGACTTCGTAGAAAATATATCTACAAAATTTTTTTTTGCATCCTTATCGTTTCGAAATCTTTGTTTTCCTTATCCACGTCATTTTCAGTCTTCTATTCTCAACGTTTTCAGATTCATTTCTTTATCAACTTATCGCTTCTTTCTCATTTTATGTCCGACACTTCCTCTCCTGTCACGTCTAACAGGATGGCTTTGCCGGATGCTTTGTCCAAAAACTCTCTGAATCTCCAATCGACCCATCCCCTTATTTCCCCTTTCAATAGTCCATCTCCCAACGTCTATGTTGCGACTTCATCTCATCGCGATCTTCCCCCATTGTCACCCATGCCGGACGATTTCCAACCAAGACCTATTCCTTCCTCATCTCCAAGTATTCCTTTCCCTTCCCCAGCACCAAATCGACAGGATAATCAAGATGGGGTTTCTACCCGTCTTTCGGGTTTACAAATTGAGAATCCCGATCGGGATCAAACCATTTTAGCTCATTCTCAATCTATCGCTTCCCTCGAATTACAGGCTAGGCGTAATGAAGAGGTCTTACGACGGAATGACACGACCATCAAAGAGCTCAGTCAACTTTTAGTTTTCGCTTCGGACTTCACCAAGTTGAAAGCTCAAGTTTCGCAGGAATTTTTGCAAGTTCGTAATTCTCTGGATACGGCAAACGGATCAACCAATTCGCGCTTGGCGTTGTTGGAGACTCAAGCCACTTTTACAGCTAAATTTCATTCGGAACCTCCTCATTATTCTCACCTCTCCTTTTCTGGTGAAATCTCTGAGACTCACCAGTTTTGTTATTCCATTCGAGACGCCTTTGCTCGTGTTTCGCATCAATTTGAATCGGATCGCAACCGCATTTTGTGGATTTCCAGCTACTTTCGTACGGCGTCTGGTCATTTGGGCGAGCCTTGTCCATCGTATTCGTGGTGGCGAGGCCTTCTCACTCGTAACGCGGACGCTCAAGGGCTTCCGACTAAGTCGGCGTTGGCTTTGGCCCCGTTTGTTCTTCCGGAGTTGGCTACGTCGGACGCTTTTTTGGATCTCATCGAATCGCACTTCTCTAGCTCGACCAAAGAAGAAGATTCCAGAAAAGCATTTTTTGCTCTCCGTCAAGGTTCTTCGTCGATTTCCAATTTCAATATTCAATTTAACACACTATTGTATTCAGTCGATCTCTCCCCCAAGTCGGCTCTTGAACATTATGAACAAGCCATCAATCAAAAGATCATCGAGCTAGGGGGGTTGATAAGCGCACGCCAACCCCCATGGCGCACGCCAATCTGCACGCCATTGCAGAATGGCGTGCAGGCAGGCACGCCACTCGCCTGCAGGGGGTATACCCTACCGGTTGGCGTGCCTGCCTGCACGCCCAATATGGGTCCTAA